TTCTGTCCTCTCATTCCCTGCTCATGCCTGTCAGTATAGAAGTCCTCTCTTAGAAGCAGGCATCCTGCTCAGCTTGCTCAGAACAAAAGCGTGTGGAGAAAGCTGTCAGAGAAAGAAAGAGAGAGTTACTTGCGTTGGTCCCAGAGGGGTGACCTTGCAAGACCTGAGATGAAGATAGAGGGGGCTGATAAGAACTGAGCCTCAAGCAGCTAGAATTCTTGACCTGGTGCCTCTGCCAGGAGCTTGCAAGGTGGGCCTTAGGCACCTGCTTGGGATTGCTGATGGTTTCATGCAGCTGATTCTTTAATACTTCATGGTAGCAGGCAATAGCCTCTTCAATCTGTTGAGTGATATACTGTTTAAAATGGCTTTGAGTGTCTTTTTCAGTGAATCAGTCCATATGCACTGTATATTCTGATTTTTTTAAAAAAAAATTGTGGGATTCCAGATACCTGGCATTCCTGTGTATTTATGAAATTTGTTTTCAGTTTCACTTTTGGCACCTGCCTTTTGACACACTTCCGGTGATGTCAGGGGGTGTGGGACATGCTAATGAGTTATGCTAATGAGTTCCCCTAGCTCTTTTTCTACGAAATGACCCCTGGGTGTTATCACTTGCTTCTGCCTCCTCACTGCAGCCCTGTGTTGTATGACGTTTTGTATATGTCGGTTTCTGAGCTCCTAGGATTCTCTTTTCAGGATTTACAGGGGGATTTACAGGAGGGGAAAATGTGAAAAGCCTGGTCCCACCAGTGTCTTATGTTGGCAGTGTCTAGAATGAAACCCATAATCTTCTAGCATCTTAGTTTTTTGCCACTGCCAAAACTTGAATGAGCAAAGAATGTTGGACTGAGATTGAAATGTTCATTTCAGTCTGATAGTCCATCAGGCATTATTAAATGAATGTCTTGAAGATGAATGCCGAAAAGGGTTACCTTGTGCTATGTAAGACATGACCTCCTCTTTTACAGGGGCAGATGAAGGACGAGGTGCAGGTGCTGGCGGCCGGTTCATAATAAAGGATCTACCATCTTTTCTTCGTTTTTCAGTAGCGCTAGCCAGTATTGCATCGTATACACCATCATCCAACTGTGCAGTCGCGTATGGATCTTCCTCTCCTACTTCCCTGGGTAAATCCTCTTCTTCCAGGCCTTCAAATGTATATTCATTTTTCTTTTTGTCTTTAACCATTTCCTGTTCTGCAAAACACAGAAGGGCACCTTCATAATACAGATCCTAGTGATTTCAAGTCCCTGGGTTGCCAAGGTGAATGTAAACATAAACCCCCTGCCAATGTAAACATTTGTAAAAATAATAATCAGATTGCATGCTGAGACCCATATATTCAATTTTAAATATGGGTGGCTGAATCTGAATATATCCCCTTATGACCTCAATCATTTCTACAGTGTCTATTAGAGACAAAATTGGCTTTAAAATTATACCATTTCATTGGAATGAAATGTTTTGAACACCAAAGAAGTGTTGTGCAAATGCTAAGTATTACTAGTATCAGCTCCTGACAATTTTTAATGAAAATTTAGAAGCTGAGTTGGTTCTAAGTTCAATGGGAGTAAGTTGCATAAGTGAATCATGCTGTTTTGAAAGCATCTATCTATATAAAAGAAAGTCCCCTCACCATAAAATCAAACTGCTGGACCTAGAGACACCAAATTTGGGGAGAGCGTTCCCACCATGGCGTAGGTGCTCGCTAAGAAGGGATTTTTAGAAATTCGACCCCTAAGTGGGTTAAAAGGGGGAAAATGTGCTCCCCCATTTATTACTATGCGGCTGCCAGGCAGCTCTCTCCCTGCACCCCCCACTCTCTCATTGGTCAGCTGCAGATCTCAGAATTCTGAGGTAAAAAAAACCAACAGTTACTGGGGACTACAGAGAGCTAATAACAGTTGAGGAAATCAGGAGTGGCCAACCGCCTGTGAGGTGAAGCAAAGCTACTGGCCCAGCCTCCCTATGGCTTCAGACATTCTCCCCTCTCCTACACCTGACAGGCAGTTGTCTGTCAGGTGCAGCAGCAGTTGCAGGCTGCTTAAAGCCACGACGGAGCCTGCCCTAGCAGTAACGCCTTAGTGATCGTGCCAGCCCCGCCTCCACAGTGGCTTCTAATACTCCTCCCCCTCCCTCACTGGATGGGCAGCTGCCTGTCAGGTGTAGGAGAGGAGGTGGGATGCTTACAGCTGCCGGGGAGGTTTGCTCAGCAAGATTGCCTTAGCCCTGCTGCTGGCCCAGCCTCCCTGATGCCTTTAAACATAATCCCCCCAACACCAGACAGGCAGGTGTCTGTCAGGTGTAGGAGCAGGACCAGGGTACTTTAATCCATCAGGGCCGCCGCTGCAGCAGGATCACCTTAGCAATGCTGCTGGCCCAGCCTCTCTGATAGCTTCCAACACACTCCCCCCACCTCCTACACCTAACAAGCGGTTGTCTGTCAAGGTGCAGCAGCGGTTGCAGGGTGCTTAAAGCCATAAGAGAGTCCGTCCCAGCAGTCTACAGAGAGGTCCTTCAGTAGAAAGGGGGAAAAAAGTATGCATGCCTCACTTCATTTTTATACTACAATCTTCTCCATTAGAATTCCTACAACAAATGTTACATTTCAAACTTTACATCATCAGTATTACAAGTGGATTTACGGAAGTTAAATACCATAGCGAAGCATGGGTATCAGGCTAGTAACCATATATACAAACATCTACTTAGCTACTTAAATGTACCTGGAGAACCCGTAAGAGATTTCTCATCCTATCTAGTACTGGATTTTAAGATTCTAGATTTCTGACACAGAATGGCTCCCATGTAAAAAATACCTTGCACTTTCCATGTAATTGGTTGTCCTTTCTCACAATGCATATCATTTTGGTGAGAATTTCTCCCTAATTTATGGTTTATAATAGGCAATCATAATATTGACCTATTACTTTCCAGGCCTATTGTTAGGGTGCCCTCAGAGCTAAACTACACAAGAAAGTAGCAGCTATGTTTGCTTGTTCATGTTACTGTCCTCAAACTCTCTGTCTCCATGCCCAGTGCCCTTTGGGATGCCAGCCTTCAGGTAGAAACTGGGGATCCCCTGGAATTACAGCTCATCTCCAGACTACAGAGATCAGTTCTCCTGGAAAAAATGGATGCTTTGGAGAGTGGACTCAGTGGCATTGTACCCCACTGGGGTCCCTGTCCTCCCCAGGCTCCATCCCCAAATTCCTAGGAGTTTTGCAACCTGGATCTGGCAGCCTTCCCCTCCCCATCCCCTGCTAGTGGCCAATGGGGATACGGCAACCCTAAGCCCTCGTCTGTCTAAAAGATATGTTGTCGAAGGCTTTCACGGCCAGAGTTCATTAGTTGCTGTAGATTTTCCGGGATGTGTGGCCGTGGTCTTGGCATTGTAGAACCTGACATTTCGCCAGTAACTGTGACTGGCATCCTCAGAGGTATAAACACAGAAAGATGGAATTCTTTCTGTGTTTATACCTCTGAGGATGCCAGTCACAGTTACTGGCGAAACGTCAGGTTCTACAATGCCAAGACCACGGCCACACATCCCGGAAAATCTACAGCAACTAATGTCTAAAAGATGTTTTTCTCCAGCTCAGCTTTCTGTTAGTATTGGATCTGGACTGACCAAAACTGGAGTCTGGGTGATAGACTACAGCAAGATAAGCAGAAGGGGAAGGTTCAAATTAGATTTCTTTCCCATGTGTTATACATGAACTGGATATGCATGTGAAGAGCAAACATGGCAGCTGCTGTTACGCTTAGCATGGCCTGAGAGAAGGTATATGAAGTACTTTGAACACTTAAAAATCCATTATATAAATGACTATTAATGTTCAACTGGGCTAGGAGAAACTTTCACGCAAACATGTCCTAAATGTGTACATGTGGTCAAAGCTATTATTTCTCAGTACAAAGGGCACTGAGTGAAAAAAAACAAAAAACAAAAACAAAATTAGGTCTATATGAAATGTCAACAGACTTAGGGTTACATGGCTGGCTGTTATCATGTGCATTAAGTATACATTAAGATTGCCAGTTTTTAAAATAGTGTTTGAGGAGTATTCTGTCAGAAAAAAAGAAAAGAAAACACATATCCCCAGGGTTGCCAACATCCAACTGGGGCCTGGTGATCTCCTGCTTTTACAGCTGATCTCCAGGTGACTCCAGAGATCAGTTCCCCTGGAGAAAATAGTTACTTTGGAGGGTGGGCTCTATGGCATTGTACCATGCTCAGGTTCCCCCCCCCCCCAACTCTGCCCTCCCCCTCCCCCACTCTCTGGGTATTTCCCAACCCAGGGCTGGTAACCTTTGGAGAAGAAAAATCTTACATGACTTAGTTTGCTTGTGTTCAGGTATATCAAAGAATTCTCAGGGCATATATTCAGTAAGAACTGTATCAGTTTAAAGCCAATATAAGTGATATGACTCCCTCCCCACTATCCAAGAATCTTGGGAGTTTGGTGAAGGTGCTGAGAACTCTGTTAAGCAATCCCAAACCCTCCTCAGACATTCTGGAATTCCCTGAAGAATGCCAACATTTATTAATCCTGTTTAAGTGCTTGACCAGAGAGGAACCATATGGCTTACCTGCAGATTTGCCAACCTCCAGGTGGTGACTGGATATCTCCTGGGATAACAACTGAATTCCAGGTGACAGAGATCACTCCACCTGGAGAAAATGGCTGCCTTGGGAGGTGCTTTGGAAGGAAGTCAAACCCCACCCTCCTCAGGTTCCACCCCCAAATCTCCAGGTATTTCCCAAGCTGGAGCTGACAGCCCTAGTCACCTGTCACCGGGGACAAGCACTAATAAATTATCTGTCAACGTCTGTTCTGGAGCTAAAAGACTCAGTCTTACCCAGTATCTCCACTACTTGCTCACCTTCAGTGTCCCAGCTGTTAATTCTATGAGAACTTGTTTCAGCAAGGGTTGTTATATAAATATTTAAAGAAATACATGATTTGTTCTTCATGCAGTCGGGGTATTTCCTTTACCACAATTAATAAAAAATGCATTTAAAAAAGAAAGACCTGTCACCCATTAGATATAATGCCTACAACATCAAGCATTTCTTGCAAGGAATAAGCTGCCATGCTATTATTATCATTCTCCTGACTACATTCGCTTTTTGGTCTCTGAAGATCCATAGGATACACCCCTGCTCCTGGCAAATGAACTTTCCTGGGAAAGAGGAGTCAAGCTCCAGATTGCTTTTTAGCAATTCTTGTGCAGTACCTGTGGTAAATGGCTCTCTGAAATATGTGGAAGGATGACTCATTCCAGTTCCTCTTTGAAAAGAAAATATTATTATCTCCTCACAAAGATGAAACCAACCTAATGCTTTGCAGAAACACAGCACAATTAAACCAAAAGATCCGTACTGAAAGTGCTTCTGTGGGAATCTGCTTCATTCCCAGGATATTAACTGGTGCTGCCTAGAATTTGAGATTGTATCTGTCTGTTTATAGAAAAAATTGTGATGCCATAGAATTATTCATGTATGGGGCAGCCAAGGCCCCACTCAGTAGACTGGCCGGCCAGCCATTTTAAATTCTGTCCAAGAAGTCTGGATTTTTAAAAATCCCTTCTCCAATTTTCTTGTGAGAAAAGTGGTGTTTCAAGGATAACAAGGAAGGGAGGGGCGCTCTATCTTGCAAGGGAGTGATATATTTATGATGTGTGGCATTACTGTCTTTTGCACTTCTCCTTTTAAATTTCTTCAAGGAAGTGAACCTCACCATGTTTTCTATCAAACTACTGCATGTCCTGTAAAAATAGCAGTTAAAAAGGAGCACACTTTGTGTTGAAATACCTTGGGTGTTTCTACACTGCAAAGTTACATCGGTTTAATTGCCATGGTTTCTCCAAAAGATTCTTGGCAATTGAAGTTTGATGCTATTGCTAAGAATTCCATGTTCTTAGTGACGGGCAGTGAAGGCGTGTGCAATTAAATGAATATATGTTGTCTTCCCTTTGTCTATATTGAGTAACTGTACATCGCTTTGAGCCCACTGGGGAAAGCGATTAATAAATGGAAAGTATGATGATGATGATGATGATGTTAGGGATGCCTAGCCCTTTCACAGAACTACCATTTCCAGAGTTCCCTGAAGAAATGGAAGGATGTACAAACCACTTTAAACGTGTAGAGTCCATCTTACTTATCCCTACGGCTAATAGCCCAAAGGCCGGCTTCCTGTGTGGACAGCCAAATCCTCACAATGAGGCCAGCCACATCTAGCATTTTGTGTACTTGGGGGAACACCCATATTGGCAGAACATATCTTTTAAAAAGAAAAGTAAAAATTAAAAAAGAAAAATCTTTTAAAGAAACAAACACAAACCTAATTCTGAGGTAACTCCTACCCACAAAAGTTAAGCAAACCAGCATTTGTCAGTTTATGTATTTATTTGGATATTTATACCATATTTATACCATGTTTTTCTCCCCAAGGGGATCCAAGGTATCTTGAAACATCATTCTCCACATTTTATCCTCACACCACTGCTGAGGAATGTTTGGCTGAGCAATTGGCTCAAGGTCACCCAGCAAGCTTCCATGGCAGAGGAGGGATTTGAATCTTGGTCTTCTAGATCTTTTCTGAATCTAAGTCTGTGAGCTTATCTAGCTCATCAGCTTAGCCCTGAGCCCTGCTTGCAGAGGAGAGGCAGATGACAACCAGAGAGGCTTCTTCAGTGGTGGAACCTCTCCTTTGGAATACCCTGTCCACTAAAGCTTACCTTACTCTCCTTGAGGCACCAAATCAAATGATTTCTTTGTTTAATTCATTTTAACTGAGATGTTCCATCTTTTTAAACTGTTTTATGAATAGCATTTTAAGCTACTGAATGTTGTTTTTGTGATTTTATTGTATTGATTTTACTTTATAAGGCACCTTGGGCAGTGGCATATACATTTTCTATAGAAAACCAATAACTACGCGTTTCTACTGGATGGCTCAGCATAGCATTATTTTCAATGAGAAGCAAAATTGCCTCCACTGAAAAGCATTCTGTGTGGGTAAAATTCCATCTGGGCCTATTGAATTTAATGGTGTACAAGTGATCATTTAATGTTACTTTCAATGAGTGATGACGAGCATGCATGCTATTATGTGATAGCATTGGAAAAAGTGCGGAAAAGGGCAACTAGAACGGTAAAAGGGTTGGAACACTTTCCCTATGAAGAAAGGTTAAAGCGCTTGGGACTCTTTAGCTTGGAGAAACAATGGCTGAGGGGCGACACAATAGAGGTTTACAAGATTATGCATGGGATAGAGCAGGTAGAGCAGGAAGTACTTTTCTCCCTTTCTTACAATACAATAACTTGTGGGTACTCAATGAAATTGCTGAGCAGTCGGGTTAGAATGAATAAAAGGAAGTACTTCACCCAAAGAGTGATGAACACATGGAATTCACTGCCATAGGAGGTGGTGGCGGCTACAAGCAAGGACGGCTTCAAGAGGGAATTGAATAAACATATGGAGCAGAGGTCCATCAGTGGCTAGTAGCCACAAGGTATAGATAGGAACTCTCAGTCTGGGGCAATTGATGCTCTGTATTCTTGGTGCTTGGGGGGGGCAACAGTGGGAAGGCTTCTAGTGTCCTGGCCCCACTGGTGGACCTCCTGATGGCACCTGGTATTTTTGGCCACTGTGTGACAGAGTGTTGGACTGGATGGGCCATTGGCCTGATTCAACATTGGCATCTCTTATGTTCTTATGTGATCTGGCTTTGCACATGCCACAAACATATCCTTGAAATGGCAATCTGAAGTTCCATCAATTCCCAGAGATATGGACTGGCCTTTAGGTTAATTGCTTGTGTGCTTCCCATATCAGTTCAATACTGCCATTCTTCCTACTATCATCAATTTAAAAAATAAAATAAAATCCTAAAATGACTAAGACCCTGCCGCAAATATAAGAGAGAGGGCCTTTATTTCCGCCATGATTCTGTACCTGGAGACACATAGAGAGGTTCATCTTGTCTTGGGGTTGTCAGCTGAACACGAGGTGGCAATGGAGGCCCTTTACCATCGTTCATGTCTCTTGTGTTGGCTTCAGGATCCCCTTCATCTATAGTAGCATACAAGCTGTCATCTTCTTGATATGACTCTTCCATGTTCTTATTTGCTTCTTCATCAGCCCTTTCTTTGGCTGTGCCTTCCTCTTCTTCCTGTTCTGCTTCAGCTTCTGCTTCTGCTTCATTCTGGATTTCCCAGCAGAATCCAGGCTGTTCTCTTGTCCTTGGCATGTCTGTTGATGTTAGGAGGATGCATTGTTATTCCACTTAAAATACACCATCTGGATGCATTTCATATTTTGCAGATTTTCCACCGAAGCAACAGAAGAGCCGCTAATAAAACTTTTATGAACTAATACAGCAGAAAGCTGTCAGACGTAGAACTCTGGTGAAGGAGCGACTAAAATATTTATTAAATGAACAGTGGAGGCTTTCATTAGGATTTGCAACTCCGCTACACAACACATTTGTGCACGTGATAACGTTAGGCTTTTGCCAAATTATTGCAGAGGCATTGTGCCTGCCCCTCCCCCCCTCCAGTCCCCCCCAGCTCAGAGTGCCTGATTCCTAATGCAGCACAGCACATACAGGAGAGAGAAGCAAGTTGTAACTTCGTGCAGTGGTATGCTTTATTCCTAACAGATAATGCCTTGCCTGCTTATCATTTAACATTTTTTAGCATGGGATAAACATTGCCCTTGGGAGAAGCAATTTGAACTGCTGTGAAGACTGTTTGTGAGGGGTTCTGTGTGACTTCGTTCTCACTGTGTTCAGATATACACAACAAACCTACCACAGACTTTGGTAGGTTGTTGTCAGTTTGGAGTAAAATATATGACTCATGTATTTTTTTTCCACCGGCAGGAACAATGCTTTCTATCCATTGAACTGCACCTCTTGATGGAGCAGGACCTTCTGGGATGTGTCTCAGAGCCACTGACTACATTTAAGTAGATTGTCTCACTAGCAAAGATAGTAACATCAACGGCCACCATATGGATATAAGACATGGGTCAGGCAAGAGAACTCATTTCTGATAGGAAAGTCTGGCAAGGTGAAAGTTGCTTTCACACACTAAATAACACACTTTCAATCCACTTTCAATGCAGTTTACAACTGGATGTTACTGTGTGAGACAGCAAAATCCACTTGCAAACAGTCGCTGAAGTGGATTGAAATGGCATTATTTAGCATGTGTGAAAGCATACTGGCTCAGTGGAAGAGGCTCTTCTTTACATGAAAAAGGTTCTATCCCCAGAATCTCTAGGTGAAAGTACCAGGTGGATGGTGATGTGAAAGACCTCAGCCTGAGACCCTGGAGAGCCACTGCCATTCTGAATAGACAATACTTACTTTGATGGACCAGTGGGCTGATTCAGTATAAGGTAGTTTCATGTGTGTTCACATGTGACATAAAGGCAATGGCTCGTCAATCAACTGTTTTGCTGTTGGAAACATCAGAACAATTGGAGCCTGCTACCATCTTTCCTTGGCCTTTGAGACCTTGAATTATTCAGATGGGTTTCCGTAACAATTCTTAGTCAAACCGCCCCACCCAACTGACTATTGTCTACTGTAACTGACAGGAGCTCTCAGAAAGAGAAAGGTGTTTCCAAATGCTGGCTACTTGGAATCCTTTAACTGGACATACCAGGGTCTGAAGATAGGACTTCCTCCATGAAAAATATGGAGCCCTTATCCCAACACTTAGAGCCAAACAACATGTTATGGCAGATAAGGTTCCAACCTGTGGCCATTAATGCCATTTTAGGTGAAAATTTAGCCCTTTTAAAATTGCTGCAAGGGCCCAAACTTGATTTAGCTAGCAGTGCAGTGGCAACAAGCACTCTTGTCTCCCCACCCCCATGCCTTTTAAAATGCTTGAAAACTACTAAGCTTAGCACTGGCCAGCAAACTTTACTCTTCCCAGTAGCTGTAACCATCATGATGCATTACACTGTGGCATAATAGGACTCAATAGAGCAGTAGCTGAAATCTCTCTATTAGAAACTTACAGGAATGTCCATCATGAAGAGGTTCTGGGCGCATCATAATCATGTAAATGTCATCTTCAGAATTCACTTTCTCTTCCTCCTGTTCACGTCTTTTGTAGTCATCTTCATGAATCTGAAAAATCAAGGAATACTTAACAATGCAGCCTGTCTGTTTCCTACTTCTGCGTGAGATTTCTGATTTCCCACCTCTGCTTATAAATTCTAATGCTATAAAAGCTTATGAAAGAGAAACTGAGAGAAGGCCTAATAGTAAAAGGTTTCCTTTCCAGATGAGACAATATGTAACCTTATTAATTACACCATAGAAATAGCATTAAGATGTTATATAATTTTTAAACTAACGATAAGTAACAATATATATAGCCAACACCCCCCCCCAATAATTAATATTTCGGGAATACATGCAGATCCAATGCAGCTTGCAGCATTGTTCCCCCTGCCTACAATACTGAATGAAACAGATATTGAGGTAACTAGAGGAAGAGAATCACTGATTTTGTAATGCATTGGTTATATCATGGAACTATATATCTAGGATCCATATCCAGAATATATTATAATATCCTGAATTGATCGACTTTTTACCGCTATATTCTTAATTCCCTTTTGTGATGGCCTTTGACCACATGCAATAAATATGTCTGTCTATATCCTAAAACTCACAGGAACAAAATGAACTTCAATTCCTAAATGCTGATTTAAGCTCAGATAGACAAGGTAACATGATTATGACTGAGGTTACTGTACTCCCAATCAATACTCAATAGCTTATTCTGCCTGTCACCGACTTCTGTTTAAACTGTTTCTGTGAGATTTCTACTTCACAAATTCAAATGCTGTACAAGCATTAAAAAACCTTGGAACAAAGCACAAGAGTTAAAAAAAAATGTGTTTTTTTCCAGGTTACTCTATACCACAAACTTTAGAGCCAATACATGATACAACAATCTTGTAATGTAATCTCTACCTGAAGCTTCTATGGTTCCCCCGCCGGTAAGAAAATTTGACTTGGCAACCCTAGTGACAGCTCAGTGAGTGGTGGCAGCAAACTTAAGGAGCAAGATACGCGCACGGGACTAGGGTGGGAGGCGAACAGCTGAGTTGTAAACTGGAGCCTGTTTCAGCACAGGAGGCAACCAAGCTTAGTTCAGACAAAGAAAGGAAACCCTTCGCAAGCCTTTGTGAGGAACTCATTGGGACCAGTCCTGATGACTAGGGTTGCCAGCTCCAGGTAGGAAGATTCCTGGAGATTTTCTGGTAGAGTCTATGGAAGGGTTTGGGGAGGGGAGAGGCCTCAGCTGAACAGAATGCCATAAAGCCCACCTTCCAAAGCAGTTATTTTCTCCGGGGGGGGGGGGGAGATCTGTTGTCTGGAGTTCAGTTGTGATACCTGGTGATCTTCAGGCTCTACCTGGAGGTTAGCTACCTTAGGCGTAGCAGTCAATGATTCAGTGCAGGGTCTCCTAGATCCAGGTTCTTGCTGTAGAGGCTGAGTGGGTGATTTTGGACCAGTCACAGACTTTCAGCCTAACCTACCTCAAAGGGTTGTTGTGCAAGTCAAAAGGGGGAGAGGAGAATGATGTAAGCTGCTTTGGTCCCCATTGCAGAAAAAGACTAATTTTCCTTCTGGTAAACCATTGTTGCCAATCTCCAGGTGAGGGCTGGAGATCACTCAGAATTACAACTGCTCTCCAGATGGCAGAGATCATTTCCCCTGGAGAATGGTGGACTCTGTGTCCTTATACCCTGCTGAGATGCCCCCCCCCATGACAGCCAATGTGATGTGGCAGTCAGGGCTTCAGAGCACAGTAGAGACAGCACGTGCGGGTGGTGGGTGGGGAAGGAAAGCTGAAGAGGGGGAAATAAAGGTAGGTTGATGATTGGCTGTGAAGGAGATAGGGTTGCCAACTCCAGGTGGGAAATTCCTGGATATTTGAGGGATGGAACCTGGAGAGGGTGGGGCTTGAGGAGGTCACCACAGCAAATTGGCACTGAGTGCCCAAGGCCTTGGCACTCTTCCCAAAGCCTCTTTCTAGAGCTCATTGTATTTATTTCCACAATGGACCTTATTCCTAGTATATGTATATGTGTGTGTGTGTGTGTGTGTGTGTAATATAGGTGCATCCTCTCCACCCTCCCCTTACCACCTATATATCTTTGGCCAATTTCTTCATACCCTCCATGCATCTGGTGAAGAGAGCTGTGTTCCTACAAAGCTTATGCTGCAATAAAGTCTGTTAGTCTTAAAGGTGCTACTGGACTTTTTAAAATCTAAGTAGCATGTGTTGCAGTCCTGTGCCATATAGAAATCTGCCAAAAAAGTGAACTTTCTTTTTTTTGTTTTTTAAATTATTGTAAGAACAACTGTAAGAACTTCCCATTCAGACTGGCCTTGGCAGTCAGTCTTTGATATATGTGCTGCTTTTTAGCTGGGTTTTTTTTTACAGGATAATTTCTGTGGGCATGGCTCTTCTCTGTGAAGGCACAGTGCCCACACACCGTATTTACTTTATTTATCTCATACCTTTCTCCTCAATAGGGACCCAAAGCAGCTTACATCATTCTCTTCTCCTTTGTTTTATCCTCCCAACAACTCTGTGAGGCAGGTTATGCTGAGAGTGTGTGGCTAGCTCAAGGGCACCCAGAAAGCTTTCCATGGCAGAATGGGGAATCAAACCTGGGTTCCTAGTCTGACACTCTAACCAGTATACCGCAGGCCTGTTTAGCTACCCTCCCCTGATGACAGCTAAACCAGGAAACTATGTGAGCCTCTCACTTCCTCATCTGGAGAGGAGCTGGGAAAGAGGCTGGCATCTGTGGCATATAGTTACTTCTGTGGCTGTTCCTCGAAAAACATGAGGACCTCCAAACCAGGGGATCCCCCGCCCACAACTGGGGATTCGCAACCCTACTTGCAGCCTGTGGTCCTCTATGAGTGGTGCTCCCACAACCATTACCCTTCCAGTATATTCTTATGGCTTATTGCCCATTTTAGATCTGACTGTTGGGTCTACTGCAGGTCTGCCAGGTGGTTGGCCAATTTCATGTAGCTTCCAGAGATTTCTAGAGTGAACTGATGTTACCTCTGGGTTTCCCCTGGAAGCAATGCCAGGGTGTTACCAACTGCCCTTGTCCCCTGCACAGTCTCCCTCTGGTTGCCAGGCTATGCCTGATGACCATAGCCTATTAGGTTGTATGTATTTGTTTAAATTTACATTGTTTGTGTGTATTTTGTCTTGTAAGCTGCCTTGAGTCCCCAGCGTGGAAGAAAAGTGGGATTAAAATATTTAAAAGAGAATAGGTGCTGAAATTCCTGGAAATGTTGATATTTCCTAAATGTAGATAGAGCATATTTTGGGGGAAATGTCACTTTTTGGGAGGGGCATGGCTCTGTCTCCAGTACTACCTTTTTAATAAAATAGGCTTGGATCTATTTTGACACATATAATGCTTATATCAACACATATAATAACTCTGCAAAATTTCAACAAAATCCATAACAGACTACATTTGTTCATTTGGCATAGAAAGACCTTAAGACAAAGATAAATGGCATTTCTCCCCCCGCCCCCACTAAAGTAAAGATTTCTACAGTGTTCCCATAAAAACTGCACTCAGTTCTGTTCCGTAATTCATGAATAGCTTGTTACTTGATGAGTCCAGCTACATATAAAACCTTAAATGGAATCCAAACCTTAGACGATTTTCTCTTCTTTGCAAAAGGCCTTGAAGCTGCCAAACTGGAGGTGGCTCAGAGCTATTAGTCTGAATTACAAAGAGGATCCAGTGTTTTTTTCTTGGCTACCACCCAGTCAACAACTGTACATACATAAGTCCCATTGAAACGATCAGGTCTTAAATAAATGTAATGTGGGATGGATTGTCCCTCTGTTTCCCAAGTCAGGTACCTTGAATACACTTGCCAGCATCAAACAGATGCAAGGCAAGCCTGACAATAAAGAACCAGGCCTGCCTCTGATTCACAGGTGTAAATATATTGTATTTGGGTAGCAGGAAAATAGCAGCAGGCTTTGCAGTCTCACCCAAGACTTACATAGAACATTTCTTGGCATTAAGCAAGCTTTTTCACTCAAATGTTGCTCACTGGTATGGGAAAATAAGTAGTTATCAGATGGAATATCCTGCCAAACTCTTCCACCAGTCATCTCTTAATTCTCCTTGTTTTGTTTTGTTTTCAAATTGGGTTTCATTCTGCTTTCATGCAGGATTCAAAACAAAACAGAAAAAAGAAAATGGGTGTAAAATAGGAACTGTATACACAGTTAATAATACTGAATCACATTATGGAGTACAGAAGTTGGGTGGAGAGTCCCCACCCTATAGGGCTGCCAACTCTGGCTTGGGAAATTCCTGGCCAGGCTGGGCTGCCTTGTTCACCAGAAGACTGGAAGAACAGTAATTGAGGAGAGCAGAATTTGGGATGAGAAGATGCTCATTAGGGATGTGATGCCATGGAATCCGCCTTTTGAACCTGCTGGGCAACTGATCTCCGTCACCTGGAGACTGAAAACCCTCCCACACTGAGTAAAAGTCAGAGGTGAGTTGCAGATTCTTCTGAATTCCCCAGTGCATGACGCCCAATACCGATTGCAACAGTGGTGCATCTGGACAATAGGCTTCAGAGGGATCCCCCTGAAACAGTCTGTGGGGCACTATTTGTCCCATTGGAGAAACCCACATGTATACTTCTGGGTTCCCCTAAAGAGGCCAGAGAGTGTCCCACCCCAGACTACTTCAGGTTGTGAACATGGCACAGAAAGGGGACACATGTACATTAAGCATATAACTGAAAAAGTCCTTGATAATTTCTGCTATACATGATTTACTTAATTTTATTTGGGGAATGATCTCTCTGCTTTCACTCATTCTTTTTAGCAGCTCTCCCTAAATTTGGGGCATTCCTTTGTAGAAAGTAGAAGCAGCTGTACCTGCTAGATGACAAATAAATATTAACTAACATGAGGCCAGTGACATCCCCTTTCAAATCCCCATTTACATGCACGGGGGAATCTTGACCTAACCAGATGCACCAGCAATTTCAAGAGGCAGATACAGGAAAAACGTGTACACATAGTAATTGTGCTTGCTGCA